TCTCTCTCCTGTCTGTCTGTCTGTCTGTCTCTCTCTCCTGTCTGTCTCTCTGTCTCTCTCCTGTCTCTCTCTCGTCTCTCTCTCCTGTCTGTCTGTCTCTCTGTCTCTCTCCTGTCTCTCTTTCGTCTCTCTCTCCTGTCTGTCTGTCTCTCTCTCTCTCTCCTGTCTGTCTCTCTGTCTCTCTCCTGTCTCTCTCTCGTCTCTCTCTCCTGTCTCTCTCTCGTCTCTCTCTCCTGTCTGTCTGTCTCTCTGTCTCTCTCCTGTCTCTCTCTCGTCTCTCTCTCCTGTCTGTCTGTCTCTCTCCTGTCTGTCTGTCTCTCTGTCTCTCTCTCCTGTCTGTCTCTCTGTCTCTCTCCTGTCTCTCTCTCGTCTCTCTCTCCTGTCTGTCTCTCTGGTGTCTGTCTCTCTCTCGTCTCTCTCTCTCTCCTGTCTGTCTCTCTGGTGTCTCTTTATATCTTCATCACTTGAGCACGACATGTAGCCTGCGCTGTAAAGACTGTAAAAAAACAAAACAGTAAAAATAGAATTTTTTTAATCTAGAATATTTGAAAAAATGTGAAAACGATAAAACTGCTAAAAATATGTAAAATATAAAACTGTAAAAAAATAGAAATATTACAACAGTGCAAACTAAAGTACTGTAAATGCTGTTAAAACATATTTAAAAAAAACTGTAAAACTGTGAAAGTTATAAAACTGCAAAAAAATAAAACTACAAAAACCTTACAAACTATAACAAAGTAAATACATCAAAACAATTACTTTAATTTAGAGAAAGGTTATGAGAAATGCTAAGCTGGAGAAAGTCGGAAGTGTTTAAGGCCTCATTGTGTTGTTATTATTATTATTATATAAAAAAATGAAAAACATCTGAAAGACATGACATTTATTTTATTAAATTAACTAGACAATAAAATACAATTATAGAAACTGTAAAAGCAGTGTTTAAAATCTATAAAACACACACACACACACACACACACACACACACACACACACACACACACACACACACACACACACACACACACACACACACACACACACACACACACACACACACACACACACACACACACGCACGTTGTGATGTAATGTGAGACGTCTGCTGTCATGATGTGATCCAGTAAATCTGACTCAGCGTTTCTTTACTATGATACATTTGAGGAAGATGATGATGATGAAGATGAAGAGCATGATGTCACTGTTGTTGCTGCTTTCACTCCCAGCTACTTTAGTACAGTGGTTTCCAAACTATGGGTCAGGCCCCTCTAAAGAGTCACCAGATGGATCTGAGGGGACGTCAGATGAGTAATGAGAAGAAAATAACAACAATGTAAGAAAAGTTTTACTCTTAGTAAGTTAAACACAAATATATTCTCTCCTGTCTGTCTCTCTCCTGTCTGTCTCTCTCCTGTCTGTCTCTCTCCTGTCTGTCTCTCTGCTTTCTCTCTCTCTCCTGTCTGTCTCTCTCCTGTCTGTCTCTCTGCTTTCTCTCTCTCTCCTGTCTGTCTCTCTCCTGTCTGTCTCTCTGCTGTCTCTCTCTCTGCTGTCTGTCTCTCTCCTGTCTGTCTCTCTGCTGTCTCTCTCTCTCCTGTCTGTCTCTCTGCTGTCTCTCTCTCTGCTGTCTGTCTCTCTGCTGTCTGTCTCTCTGCTGTCTCTCTCTCTGCTGTCTGTCTCTCTGCTGTCTGTCTCTCTGCTGTCTCTCTCTCTGCTGTCTGTCTCTCTGCTGTCTCTCTCTCTCCTGTCTGTCTCTCTGCTGTCTGTCTCTCTGTTTGTCTCTCTGCTGTCTGTCTCTCTCCTGTCTGTCTCTCTGCTGTCTGTCTCTCTGTTTGTCTCTCTGCTGTCTGTCTCTCTCCTGTCTCTCTCTCTCTCTCTCTCTCTCCTGTCTGTCTCTCTCCTGTCTCTCTCTCTCTCCTGTCTCTCTCCTGTCTGTCTCTCTGGTGTGTCTCTCTCCTGTCTCTCTCCTGTCTCTCTCTCTCCTGTCTGTCTCTCTGGTGTCTGTCTCTCTCTCCTGTCTCTCTCTCTCCTGTCTGTCTCTCTCTCTCTCCTGTCTCTCTCTCCTGTCTGTCTCTCTGCTGTCTCTCTCTCTCCTGTCTGTCTCTCTGCTGTCTCTGCTCACTGTCTGTCTCTCTGGTGTCTCTCTCCTGTCTCTCTCTCTCCTGTCGGTCTCTCTGGTGTTAACTTCAGGAATATTGTCCCTGTCGCTCTATTTTAAAATAATATGAACACAAATATTTATATAAAATTAGAGAATTAAATAACTGTGAATAATATTTGATAAAAAAAATGCAGCTGTTTTAACTTTCTTCCACATGAAGACATAAAAACATGAAACAGAAAAAGTGAAGTAAAGGCAGACCTGCTCTGGCATACAGGGTCCAGTCATGAGTTCATACTTTACAGTTAGTAACACATCTCAGCGCGCTGTGATTGGCGGCATCTAACTTGAGCAGATGATCTGCATTCATACAGATCAGATCCCCAAAGAGAGGCGAAGTCCCGCCCATCTACTTCCGGTCCATGGGACCTTATTTCGGAAAAATTATGCATTGAAGTCAATGGGGAGAGAAAGATTATATTTCGATCCCGTTTGAATTGTGCCACGAATTACACATATGATGTTTGTCAATCTTAAATAATCATTTCCATGTCAAAAAAGTCACAGTTTGTCGTAAAACTGTTGAAATATAAGACTATGAAAAATACGCAACTAGAAAGACTACAAATCCCAGAGTCCCGGTCCCGCATGCTGGCTCTTACGAACCGACTAACTCCCCTTGTGTGTATGTACAGCTCTCAACGTGCCCAGACTTGGAGTGATTTTCACCTCTTTTAATACTTTCCGCCTCATTCTGAAAGAAAGAAGTGAAATGTGCCAACGTGACGGCCGTCTTGGTGTGTGGTGCGAGACGGGAGATGGAGTTCATTGAGCGGTTTCACACAAACAAAAGTGTTATTTCACAGTTTTACGACACATTTTAATTTTTTTGATTTATCGTTTAAATTGACAAACATCATATGTGTAATTCGTGGCACAATTCAAACGGGATCGAAAGATAATCTTTCTCTCCCCATTGACTTCAATGCATAACTTTTCCGAAATAAGGTCCCATGGAGGTCCACCGGAAAGGGAGGGACTTCACCACTCTATAGTCCAGCACAGGTCAAAAGGTCACAGAGACTTTTCCTGGCCTCAAGCGAGAAACAGGGCTTGTTTCTGACCACAGAAACTCCCACAATGCAGTGCTGTTTTTCTGCCAACCTGTTTTATCTGTAAATGTATGTCAGCCTGTACTCAGCTGTGTGTGTGTGTGTGTGTGTGTGTGTGTGTGTGTTTTTCCCAGACTGAACTCCCGCTGAGTGAAAACAATCCTGCAGCCTCTGAAATCCAGCTTAGTTTGGATTAGCACTGAAGTAAACATTAACTCCCATCAGGAGTGTATCTCTCTCTCTCTGTGTGTGTGTGTGTGTGTGTGTGTGTGTGTGTGGGGGGTTTGAACCTGTGCCCCCCTGATCCCAACATCAACGCACTAACTCACTGTGCCACATGCCTGATTAATAAATCATAATTCATTCAAAATAAATACATTCATCATGATACTGATGGGGCTGACCTTATGTCTGTATATATGGAGGAGAAGCATGGCTAATACAACTTATAATGATAATAACAAATGTAAAATGATAATAGCATTTGAAACATGTAAAGAAAAATGTACATTTATTTAGGAGGAATTAATAACTGTACGATTATTTCATCAAATCAAACATCATGTGCTTCTTGTAGTGATTCCGGTTTATGTCGCTGTCAGCAGATTCATTTCAGCTCGTGGAGAAATCCTATCGATCACTGCTGTGTGTGTGTGTGTGTGTGTGTGTGTGTGTGTGTGTTGTGTGTGTGTGTGTGTTGTATGTGTGTGTGTGTCTGTGTGTGTGTGTGTGTGTATGTATGTGTGTGTGTGTATGTGTGTGTGTGTCTGTGTGTGTGTGTGTGGTTGTGTGTGTGTGTGTGTGTGTGTGTGTGTGTGTGTGTGTGTGTTATTGATCAGGGTTTAGATCATAAGTGATGAGTCAGCAGATTATGAATCATCTGAAAACATGAGGGGGAAACACATTTCAGAGTTCAGACGTAAACACAGATTAACTTCATGATCAGATATTCGAACAACTCAGTAAAATATGGTTCAAACCATCAAATCATTTCCAATTTGTTTTATGTGATTCAACAAATTCCATATGAGACTAATTGTTCAATTTGATTTATAACAAAACACCTTTTCTTTTATAAACATGTTACATATATATTTTGTAAAAATCTTAATTTGTTAGCTTGTTAACTAAATCAGTAAGAAGTAGAAATATAAAGAGAGGAGAGGAGAGAGGAGAGGAGATGAAACAAAAGAGGAGAGAAGAGACGAGAGATGAAACATTAGTAGACAAGAAAGATACAGTTGAAAGACAGTGAGAGAAGACAATTAAAGGAGACGAGAAGAGGAGACAAGGAGACAAAGTAGAAGACAGTAAAGAAAATGAGGTGAGGAGACAAGGGATAAGATGAGAAAGGAGACAAGAGAGGACAAGAGAAGAGATGAGGGAGGACAGGCAGGAGAGGAACCAAGAGAGGACAAAAGAGGAGACAAGGATATATGGAGAGGAGACAATAATAGGATACTAGGAGATAAGGCAAGGAGGGAACACAATAGGGGATATAGGAGAGTAGACAAGAGTGTAAATACAGATGAGGATATAAGGAGTAGATGGAAGCGAGGAAAGGACACAAGAGAGGACACAAGGACATGAGAAAAGTAGACAAGAGAGACAAAGAAAGGAGACATGAACAAAGATAAGAGAGGAGACAAGAGAGGAAAATACTCAGGTGAAGTACAAATACCTGAAATGTGTAGTTAATTTGAGGTATTTGTACAAAAACAGTTGTGTTTGGCGTGTGAAAAACAAGAGGAATCATGTCTAAAATCATCAACACCAACAAAATCAAGTCCATAAAAAATAGCTTTTCTTTTAATATTTTTCTCCAGTAAATGACACATAGAACTCTGTCTCAGAAAAATAAAAGCAGGCCCCGCCCCTTTACATCAATAAACCCCTCGGCCAATCAGAGCCGAGGAGGGGCGGGACCACGCAGGATCTGACAGCGACGATTGGCCACAGAAAACAGCACGTTATCAACATACCCTCAGCCGTACAGAATATATAGATTTGTATGTTCAGATTATATTTCATCTATGTACACAAAACATCTGATGTAAAAAAGGGTAAGAAGTTAGCTCTTTTAACGACCTGTCAATCATCACACGACCTGTCAATCATCACACGACCTGTCAATCATCACACGACCTGTCAATCATCTGACTCCAGAGCTTCCTGTCTGATTATTTTCAGTGATCATCAGTACCTGTACAATAATTTCACGGCCAAAAGCATGTGGTCATCTTTTGGTACTTTAACTATATTTTGATGATAATACTTTTCTACTTTTACTTGAGGAACATTTAGACTCTGAGTACTTCTACTTTTACTCAAGTACAAGATCTGAGTACTTCTACTTTTACTCAAGTACAAGATCTGAGTACTTCTACTTTTACTTAAGAACAAGATCTGAGTACTTCTACTTTTACTCAAGTATAAGATCTGAGAACTTTTACTCAAGTACAAGATCTGAGTACTTCTACTTTTACTGAAGTACACGATCTGAGTACTTCTACTTTTACTGAAGTACACGATCTGAGTACTTCTACTTTTACTCAAGTACACGATCTGAGTACTTCTCCCCCCTCCTAATTGATCCTTAAAAGTGATTTAAACGCCTTGACGTCTCGACTCGTGACATTTTTATCAAATGTAAAACAGTATCTGTTCTTTTGAAATTTAGCTGGATGATTTTTAGGAAGTGATCGTCATACTTTTGGCCGTGTGAGATGACGGACGTTACACGATGAAAAACGTGTAGAGAAATCCCTAATTTCATGATGAACTCACTTCAGATCGATGTGATTCTCCACAGCGGGTCACACAGAAAGCTCCAGATGTTTTAAATATATGAATGTAGAGAAACTTCAAGCGATCAGAGAATAAAACACGTTAATGAGAGCTGTGCTTTACAACATGGGATCGTCTTCACAGAACATCTCGTCTTTATGATCCGCTCACAAACCCCTCGTCTTTCTGTGGATTAATGGACACGTGTGAAAAATAATGTGCCAGTTTTACTTCGAAATAATGAGGAAACTCCACTTACAACAGAAGTTCAACATTCAAATAAAAGCTTAATAAACTGGGGACTACACCTCTCCATTTTAATATATAAATTAAGACTGATTTAAATGATCGGAGGAGATTTTGGTCATTTTTTTTAATTAGAAATTCCAACCAGGGGCGCCGCTTGCGAACAGGCAAGGCAGGCAACGGCTTGGGGCCCCCGGACCAGAAGGGGGCCCCCAAAGAAGGTAGATTAAGAAGGTCCACAGCAACGACAACATGAAACACCCTTTAATTTACTGCAACGACATGTCGGGAAACCCCCTCAAGGCGGCCCCATGCATAGCGCGCCGTAAAATGCTGCTTCTCATTTTAAGTTTCGTTGCCTTGCTCCGCTCTTGGGGGGGGGGGGGGGAGAGTGTGTTTGGGCGCCACTGATGGTGATGAAAGCTGGTTCGAGGGGCCCCCGGTGAATTTTTGCCTAGGGCCCCCACAGACTCTAGACTTTTGGTAATTTTTATTATTAGAAATTATGATGATTGCTTCCAACAATTATGTAAACAGGGTAACCTTTCCTTTTAATTGGTTTAAAGTAGAATTATATGTAAATGTCAAGGATATCCACCGGTGTGAAACAATTATTTAAAAAGGACAATTCAATAAATTCTTAATATTCAAAAATCTCAATATTGACCAGAATATTCAGGATCATTGTTCTAATAATCTAGCCGCCATAGGACATTTACATATTTAAATGTTGTATTGAATTACACTTTATTGAGTATATCCCATTTTCTACTCCACTACATAACAAAGGGAAATATTTAACTTTTATAACATATTTATTTCTGTAAAAAAATGCATTTTTAAATTATATTTCCAGTTTATTCATGTATTTATTTTATCCTTGCGTAATGCGACATGCTCCTGCAGAAACAAAGGGACATCGTAATTACATTTCTATTGTTTCTATTCAATTTGATCTCATACCGACTGATATATATATTATGGTTTTTTTTTTTTAATAATAATTGATAGATGAGAGTAACACCCACGTCACTTCCGGGCGAAATGTACGGCCCCGCCCACTTTTGGGGGAAAACAAAGCTGTCATTTGAATGGCGGTCAATACAAATTCTGAAGTTTTTGCCAATCCGATCGGAAATGTTTGAAAACCGTGGATTTCTGGATCTTCAAAGAGCCCGATTACGATGGCCAGTCAGGCAACACAATTACATGAAATCATTGGAAATCGACGATCGGGCTTGATATATGGTTAAATTAAAATGGCTGTAATCTCGCCAGCTGTTACTCTCATGAGCGAGGCGGAAAATAATTGTTTTATCATGCCAAAAAGCGGCTGTGTCGTTTATTGCACCTCAAGCATTAAAACAAATCCAGAGTTCAGTGTTTCTGTACTTCCTCTAAGAACAAAGGACAGTAACAGAAGAGCTCTGTGGCTTCAGGCTCGATCGCCCTTCAAATGACAGCGTTGGTGTCCCCCAAAAGTGGGCGTGACCGTAAAGTGACGTAGATGTTACTCTCATCAATCGCCTACATATATATCGAGCCCGATCTTCGATTTCCAATGATTTCATGTAATTGTTTGCCTGTCTGGCCATCGTAATCGGGCTCTTTGAAGATCAGAAAATCCAGGGTTTTCTTACATTTCTGATCGGATTGGTAAAAACTTCTGAATTTGTATTGACCGCCGTTCAAATTACAGCTTTGTTTTCCCCCAAAAGTGGTGATTTTTGTCCGGAAGTGACGTAGATGTTACTCTCATCTATACCAAGCCCCCAGGAAGTGCGCCGGACTCTGATGAAAATATTCGTTGTGTCCAAACGGCGGTACTACAATTTCCGTATCAGTCTGTGACGTCACTGGGCCCAGAAAGACTTTTCCCCATTGACTAACATTGGGAAAGAGACGTCTGTAAATCAGCGGATACTTTTTTTTAAACTAAATAAACGACCCAGTATGAACTATTTTATAGTCCTTATTATAATCATTAGGTCCTTAAAGTTGTAAAATGCACTAAAAGCCGAATCTAGATTTATTTTCTGTCTCCATTCATTCTAGTGAGCCGAGAGTGGGAGCTCAGGGGGCGGGGCTTAAGGGGCGCATGCTCTGTGAGCGCACATACGGGTTCTTCTGCTCTGACAGCCAGGCATGATGGGTAATCTGTGACGTTTTGCTCTCTCAAAAGTTGGGCCATAGTTTGTCCTCATCAGCCAATGAGCAGCTCTCATAGGAAAGAACAAGACCCCGCCTCCCACACTGTATCCAGTTCTTATTATACATCAATGCTTCAGGCTCGATCGCCATTCAAATTCCCCCAAAAGTGGGCGGGGCTGTAATTTTCGCCCGGAAGTGACGTAGATGTTACTCTCATCTATGGACATCGATCACCTACTGCTATATTTAACCATATACTGTATCGAGCCCGATCTTGGATTTCCAATGATTTCATGTAATTGTTTGCCTGTCTGGCCATTGGGCTCTTTGAAGATCCAAAAATCCACGGTTTTCTTAAATGTCTGATCGGATTGGCAAAAACTTCAGAATTTGTATTGACCGCCATTCAAATGACAGCTTTGTTTTCCCCCAAAAGTGGGCGGAGCCGTCATTTTTGCCCGGAAGTGACGCATGTGTTATATGTGAAGTCCCTTCCTTTCCGGTGGACCTCCATGGGACCTTATTTCGGAAAAATTATGTATTGAAGTCAATATGACTACTACTCTTACTGTTTAACATTTTGGGTTACTTAATGTTACTTCATGTTAAGGCTAATAAAAATGACAAGGCTAAGGCTGTAATGCTAACTAACGTGCTTGCTACTAGCTAGGTAGCTAACTTGATCAAGCCACTCCTGGTCCTTTCATCAGACGGGAAGCGAAAGAACGAGCAAGACCCATTGCTGGTATGATAACAACCTGGTACAAAGCACACAGGCATCTTGTTAAAGTTATCTTAGCTATTTCTTATATTTAGCGGAGGAAAACAATTATGACATCACTTACGCGACTCTGGGATTTGTAGTTTTTCTAGTTGCGTATTTTTCATAGTCTTATATTTCAACAGTTTTACGACAAACTGTGACTTTTTTTACATGGAAATGATTTTTTAAGATTGACAAACATCATATGTGTAATTCATGGCACAATTCAAACGGGATCGAAAGATACGTTTTCTCTCTCGCTATTGACTTCAATACATCATTTTTCTGAAATAAGGTCCCATGGAGGTCCACCGGAAAGGGAGAGACTCCGCCTCTCTATACAGCTTGTAATTAATACAAGCTTTCTGATTTCTTTTTTATGTAAACATTACAGGTTTTCTGATTAATCTTTGTCATTTTCTGTTTCAAGTAATCAATAAAATAAGATGAATGAATAAGGAATCACTAAACGGAAAAATATTAGACCTTCATATTGTTACGTTGGAATACCAAAAAACACTATTTTAAAAACTAAATATATGTTATAAAACATTTTTAAATATAATTTTGATTTATAATTGTTTTTACATAATTCCCTCTTTAAAGTGGCACATCATTTTTTACAGCGTACGTCCAAGAAAGCGTACAATTCTTGATCGATATAAAAACATTCTTCCTGTTCTGCTGGTGAGAGAAACTCAACGTTAAAAGACTCAAAAACCTTCGTCCAAAGTTCAGCTTTTTTCTCTAAAAATGGCTTATTATTTTTCTTCTTCTTCTTCATCATCTTCATCATCTGGAGGAAATCTCTTTTTAAAAACACGATGAAGATGCAGCTCGTCGTTAAGGCTTCGTCGCTCTTTAAACTCGTTAGATACACGGCGTCTCTGATAGAAAAATAGAGTCATGCTGTAGTAGTAGAAGAAGAAGGAACAGTCGAAACACGATGGCTTGGTGCTGCGTTCATGTCACCGCCGAGGCTGGGAAATCACAGCGTCAGGAACTGAGCAGTGGTTTAAAATGTGTGGAGACGTTTATATTTAAATGTCTCAAGTTAGGTGCGACAGCTGAGGACATTTTGGATCTTTTTCCAGGCTGATTAAATACCTCTGTGCTGAAATCTGAGTGTCAAACATTATATAAAGTGGTAGATAAATAAATAACAACAACATTGAAAGCAGCTGAAAGGGTTCACAAGCCAAGAACTGTTGTCAGTGAAAGGGATTTAGCTAAACAATGTATTTAAAATAGATTTTGATCAAACTTCAATGTAGTAAATGTTCCCAAAGTGTTGCACAACGGGGGAAATTAACATTTGAATTGCATCGTTTTTGATTTGCAGTCCAAAAAAGCGTAAGAAACCCTCGATGATTATTGACTGCTTACTTATTTATCTATTCATTAATTAAGTACTCGTCCCACTTTATTTTGGCCCCAAAAAAATACTTTGTTCCCATTTTAAAGCTGTTAAAATTAAGCCTTTAAGACCTTGTAGAAACCCTAAAACCTATATTTTTAAAGCCTTGTATACCTATTAAATATTTTAGTAAACAAACATTTGACGGTACCCAATCAAGCTTTATATTATTTTAATATTAACAACTTTTCAACAGTAGTGTACGTCACATCCTGTGTTATTTAAATATGTCGCCACGGCCGTCATTTATTCGACGTATTTTTACTTTTTGCAGCGAGCTAACAGTATTCAATGTTACTGTCGTTTTAATTTAAGCCACAGCATCAGTTCCTGAGTGTGTGTGTGTGTGTGTGTGTGTGTGTGTGTGTGTGTGTGTGTGTGTGTGTGTGTGTGTGTGTGTGTGTGTGTGTGTGTGTCCTCAGCCTCGGCGTCACACACACAGTAGCGTAGCAACACGTTAATAACAGCGTCATCACGGGGAGGAGCGTCAGATGCTCCGCAGCAGCAGCAACAACGACAACAACGGCGACAACAACAGTCGGGTCAGGTTACCGTGGCAACAACAGAGCTAAGCCAGCATCAATAAGAACAACAACAATAACAACAACAACAACAGTCTGTTCAGAAGAACCATAACAAGGGTCAGTTTTTGCTTCAAAATCACCCGAAAAACTTTGTAGAAAATGTGCAGCTGTTTTTTGGGCCTTTCTGTGAGAGCTGTACCGAATGTCTCTATTTTAATTATTTTGTATACATTCAAAGCTTCTGTTCTCTTACTATCTGTCGTTTTTCTCATATTTAATTACCCTAAATCCCCTTTAAAACCATCCTCAAAACAAAATCCTCAATCTGAGTAAAATTATTAAATTTGACTTTTGACTGAATAGTTTTCAAATTATATATCAATTATATATATTAATGCATATAACTGTTGCCTCCCTTTGTTTGCAGCATGCGGGATAGCAAACAGTATTTTTAAAGTAAGAATATTGTGTTTTTTAACAAATATAGATTTACTTATGGATAAAAAACCATTTTAGAAATTATTAAATGTTAACTTTAAGACTTTACAACACTTTTGTGCAGCCCTAATCTTTGTCTGACAGTGTGCACAAATTCGATTCAAACTCCATAAATAGACATGCCAAAAATAACGTTTCCAACTCTTCGGTACAGCCCTACTTTGAACACAAAACTTAAGGTTTACTCTAGAAAACGTGTCTGTTTCTGCAGATTTTGATGTTGCCACAAGTTTTCAAACATTGTGCATCTCAGAGGATTTGAGTATAACCTTCACGGAGCCACAAAACAAAAATGTAGTCCTCTTATTTTCTTCATCTTCTGGTGCATTCACAGGACACTAAACCCAAGCTGACAAAAGTTTGGTTTGTCCCTTCTGGGCTTCTGTAGATACATGGCAGACTCATGTTTTCTATAGTTACGAAGGGCTCATTTCCACCTAACAAAAACACGATTCTTCCATTTTTTTGTGACTACACCTTAATGAGAACATCAGTTATGATCATTATATAACTTTTGTGCCGATAAACCCGTCAAATCCTACAAAACTGGACCATTATTTGTGCTAAAAACTGATGTGATTAAAAACCTGTGGCAACATCACTGCATCGGTACAACACCAAGGATCCGAGGCTTTTAGGATCAATACGCAGAAAAAAACATTCATAGTTAGAAGCTGCTCAACAAAGATCTGCTTACGTCTGGAATGAACGCTGAAATTAAAATGATTAGCGGTAATTTATCACTAAAACAAACACCTATCAGCGCGTTAAAGCCCGAGGAATGTGACAAATAAAACTCTCGTCGTGCTCGAGTCACTTCAGTTCGTCTTCGTCAAAGACTCTTTTAGAAAATATACAATCTGTCACATTTAGAGAGACTTTGATAGAGAAATAACTTGGCTTTGTGTAGCTCAGGTCCATCATCATACCTCTTCTGTGATTGGTCCGTTCAAAAGTCATGTGGAGTAGTTCAGCCAATAACAGGCCATGCATAACTGGAGAAAAAGGCGTGGCCGTTAAAAAAGCGGCCAATAAGAGCGAAGCAAAATCCCCTAAAGCGTCCTGACAAGTCTGATAAATCCAGCGGAGGGGGGGGGGGTTTATAAAATGAACGATCCAACAGGAATAAAAGTCATCAAATCAAGCTCGCCCTGCAGAGATAGGGCGTAAACAGGAATAAATAAGCACTTTTTATAAAAGAAACAGACGATAAAGAGCCCCGAAAAGGACGATTTTTGAGGAAAATCCAGAAGTTTCCTTGAGTTCAAGTTCTGGTTCTTTTAAAAACGTCTGACAGGCCTTCAGGTTTAATAATCTATATTAAATCAAAGTTTCTCCAGTAAAAACTCTGGTTCCAGTTTGCCGCTTTTCTCCGTTATGTTTTACAGAAAACAACGGTTACATCCATTCAAAATATCCGTAAGTACCGTCGGTGGTTGCAGCCCCGTTAGAAGTAGAAAAAATAGATCCCTCCACCTCGTCCGTCTTCTCAAGTTGCGTTCAAGTGTCCCGTTATTCCCCGTGTCTCCAATCTATCATGGCTAATAAAACCTCTGACAGACATGAGAGTCAAAGGAGGATGAAGCCCAGACATCCTGCTCTCTGCACCTTTAAATATAATCTCAGAACAGGGGTTTTTAAATCTCTGGGACTCCTGACGATGATTTCTCCAGAGTATTCGAGTGAAACATCCCCATTGACTAAAATCTGCATCTCCCAGTCTTACCAGTGAAGCGCCCAAACACTACGTGGTTCCTGGTTTTCACTGGAGGTCCAGATCTCCTTCGGGGAGGCGAGGTGAGTTGTGAGCCCAGTGAGGAGCTCTGTGAGCGGGGAGGAGACTCAGGGCTTCTGGGGTCCGGGGGAAAGAACCACAGGAGTGGAGAGGCCGTCCACACTGAGAGCCGGGATGTGGATATGATTACTGCCGTTAGTGGGGAACTAAAGAGGGGGGAAGAGAGAGAGATCAAAGTTTTAATTACGCTCTTTTATAGCGTAATTAAATATTATAGGCATATATATATATATAGTAGGGTTGGGAACACCAAACATGGGCAGTCCATGTAAACATTTATAAATAAAGCACATACTTTTAAAAGACTTAAAATTGTCAAAGCTCAAGAAATTGTGTTTTTCAAGGATGGTACGAATTTGGCTTTCTGTCCAAAACCTTGCGTTTCTATGCATAAAAACTAATAAAGAGATGTTTGAAAAAAATAAAACAGACAGAATCTAGCATTTTACTTTCTGGTTCTTCAAACCTCTACTGCTGGTTTTCTACTTATACAAACTCGACTGTAAAAGAAAATGGTAAATTCATATTTTTTCAGATTTTGTCATCAACACAAAAACTCTTCATGAAACAGTATCATGTTTAATAACGGGCGAGTTTAACACAGTCATTCAAGCCGCTGTTGCTGCTGTAAAAATACCTTGTATGCCTTTAACATATTTTATTTGTATTAGTTAATAAAATTAAATAAATGGCCAGCTTTCTCGGCAGCACTGAAGAATTTATCCTGACCTGTATTTTATATAACTGAATGTTTTCATCTGTTTTATTATTGCTAGAGCTTTACATTGTTTTGTGATGAATTGTGTTTTATTGGTAGACAGGTGGGGGAGGGTTTAGCACTAAAACCACTGTTAGGGAATAATTAGCTTAGGTATTCAACCTTCGACCCAGTTCATCATGTTCTCCTCTCACTGTTTCCTTTCCCACGGCATAGGTCTACGGCCTTGGGTATTGCTGCTATCTCTCTTAAGGAGGGGCAGCTTGGGCGCATTGTTGTTGCCAGTCTATGACCGAGCACAAGCCGCCATGAGGTCGTTTACTGTTCAGGGACGTAGGTTCCCTGGCGCACATTCTTTCCTATGGACGAGAGCTCTAGTTAGATTCAGGGTCCATAATTGTTTAGTCTCACTGATAAAGAATGTTGATTATTACACTCCGAACTAGTTAAAACCTCGAGATACAGAAGAGTTCTTCAGAATTGGTTTGGCAACCGCTGAGTCAACTCGTGACACACCACCTGTCTCCGGCCGTAACTCCAAATAAACCGTCAGTGTTTGCCATCAAAGCTCCAGCTCTCCTCGTGTCTCTCTGAGTCCTGTTTCCAATTGCTTCAGAAGTTTCCCCCACAAGCATTATATGATTTTTTGGTATTTTGATAACAAGACACCATAATGCAAATTTGTTGACAGTCACAATAATTGTATAAGTGTAGGTTTTGGTAATAACTGACCTCTCATGTGTGATCTGAGAGCATTACTAAGCATTACTTAAAATGAGCAAAGCAGTCAGTCGACACGTGGGTTTAAAATTCTTCCGGCTTTATGTTTGAACATTTCCCAAAAGCAAAGTGTTTGGCCGCCTCACCGTCCAGGAGATTTAACACACCCTGCGTTCCAGCATGGTCAAATAAATACCACAAAAATATGTCAAATAAATCAGTTTTTAAAGATAAATATGGAAGAAAATCTGAGACAAAGTCAATGAATATCAGAAGTATATAATGAAATATTAAATATAAACGTATAATCAGTGTGAAAGTGTTTGATCAATAAACCTTTTTATTTTTAGAGAACCAGATATTCCTCTTTGTTTAATGTAAAATGTCCCGAAGTGACTTTAAAGCAGAAAACATTAAAGCAGCTGTAATCCTATACTTCTTCTTATAAACACGCACGCACACACGCACGCACGCACGCACGCAGTTAAGTTAAGCTTTATGTATATCGGTATAATCTGCTCTGAGTGTTTCATCTGTCCATAAAGCTGCCACTGAATATTTATATCTTTGCTGAAAACTCGATCATGTGATAACCTGTCATGACTTTATTTAAGTATATTAGATATATATACAACTTTAGACTTTTAAAGAGTCCTCTCCTGCTGATGTTCAGGTGTATATCAGTATGTAGTGTCTCTACTTTAAAGAGTCCTCTCCTGCTGATGTTCAGGTGTATATCAGTATGTAGTGTCTCTACTTTAAAGAGTCCTCTCCTGCTGATGTTCAGGTGTATATCAGTATGTAGTGTCTCTACTTTAAAGAGTCCTCTCCTGCTGATGTTCAGGTGTATATCAGTATGTAGTGTCTCTACTTTAAAGAGTCCTCTCCTGCTGATGTTCAGGTGTATATCAGTATGTAGTGTCTCTACTTTAAAGAGTCCTCTCCTGCTGATGTTCAGGTGTATATCAGTATGTAGTGTCTCTACTTTAAAGAGTCCTCTCCTGCTGATGTTCAGGTGTATATCAGTATGTAGTGTCTCTACTTTAAAGAGTCCTCTCCTGCTGATGTTCAGGTGTATATCAGTATGTAGTGTCTCTACTTTAAAGAGTCCTCTCCTGCTGATGTTCAGGTGTATATCAGTATGTAGTGTCTCTACTTTAAAGAGTCCTCTCCTGCTGATGTTCAGGTGTATATCAGTATGTAGTGTCTCTACTTTAAAGAGTCCTCTCCTGCTGATGTTCAGGTGTATATCAGTATGTAGTGTCTCTACTGGGACATGTCTCCATGCTTTAATGTTCAAAAAGCTCTTTATTTTTCTCATACTGCCTGTGCTGCAGCACCTCTTTTCACCCTCTGTCTAAAACCAGAGCCCAGTCTGCTCCGATTGGTTAGCTGGCCGGCTCTGTTGTGATTGGTCAACTGCTTAGAGACGTCAAATTGATATTTTTAAAGCCATTTTTATTTATTTAAGGCATATTAATTTACGCAATGGCAATACTTATTTATGCATTTCAAATGTGCATTCAATATATATCTAGTGTGATTTACTGAATAATTATTATTGAATTATTACTAAATAAATACATTACATATAAACGAAATACCTATTTGGTGTCATCCTGCATTTCTCGGCTGTACCACCAGGAGGCGACAAAGTGCAACAAACACTACTATATATATATAAACCAGAGATTGTTTTCTCACCAGAGGAAGACAATTAATCAATGAAACATTTTCAAACATGTTTCAAAAATGGACTCAGCTGTGATTATTATGATGTTTATAATAACTAATAATTAGGAGGTTGTTGTTGTTGACACCGGCTCCTGAATGTCCTCTTAATACCGCTGCGACAAATACAACTTGGTACACTTGGTTATTTCTTTATTAGACTTTAGCCCCTTTAAAAAGTGTGTTCTGTGTTGTGTGGATTATTATGATAACAGTGACTCTGGTTTTAATTTTCTTGTCAAACCTGAACACAGTAACCATGTTGTTTGTGGTTCTGGAGAACTAAACCTTCAATTACTGGGTATCAGATAACAGATGGAGTCAAACAAAACTGAGCCAGAAACCTGCAGAGACACAGTGTGTGTGTGTGTGTGTGTGTGTGTGTGTGTGTGTGTGTGTGTGTGTGTGTGTGTGTGTGTGTGTGTGTGTGTGTGTGTGTGTGTGTGTGTGTGTGTGTGTGTGTGTGTGTGTGTGTGTGTGTGTGTGTGTGTGTGTGTGTGTGTGTGTGTGTGTGTGTGTGTGTGTGTGTGTGTGTGAGACCTGGATCAGGTACAGGTTTCATGCAGTGCGTGTTGTGTGCTCGTGTATTTAAGGTAATATAAATTAGATAATAAATAGACGATAATAACTTGGTGCTTAATGTGCTGGATTCAGATTAAGACCAAACATCTTTTTGGGAATATTTTCCAATAATTTAGTGGCATTAAAGCAGGGAAAAAAGATGTTGTCAGTATGTATACTTGTTTCAAAAGGTGCAGAGTGAAGCCCATGCTGTGGTTTCAGTGAACAGCGAGCACAAACCTGTGAAACCTTTAGAAGCTGTGACATGAAGTGTGAACTCTGCAGACCTGTGAACAACCTACAAATCATACTTTCTGTTTAAAGAGGAACTCTACGGATGATACCGTCAACTTTAACATTAAAACTACTGCTTCAAATTATACAAATGTTTCTGTTGGATTTGAAGGTTTAAGTTTGGAGTTACTCTTTTAAAAAAACGTCCAAAACATTTGTAGATGTTGGCAGGGGTAGACATTAAAGTGGACCTATCATGCTATATTTGAATAATCTAGTGTAGGACCATACCTATATAAGGCATATTTATACATTTTGCTCAATTTGACAATTTCTAGCTCTGGGCAGATTCAGTGAGAACAGCACCATCTACAGGCCTGGCATATGTACTACAGCGTCTCCAGCGCTTTCGAACGGCAATGGCCGTGGCTGTCTCCTCCTGATTGGTGGAGTTGGTCCAATAGCCGTAGCGCCACTGTCCTGACGTCAGGACAGTGTTCAAATCTGGATCAGTTTTTATCAGATCCGTTGCAGCCTCTTTTTTAGAGATTTGGGTATGGAGGAAAATAGAGAGGGTTGTGTTTTCTGACACTTGGTGAGTTCCCTGGAACACCGGGGACACATATTCATGTATAAAAGACGTACAAAAGTGCATTTTGCATGATAGGTCCCCTTTAAGGGTAAAAAGGGTAATTTCATTCTCACTGGCCCCACATTGTAACCACTGGCCCCACATTGTAACCACTGGCCCCACATTGTAACCACTGGCCCCACATTGTAACCACTGGCCCCACATTGTAACCACTGGCCCGAGAGCATTCGTCCACAAAAATTAACTCTAACAATGAAGAAAATTAACACATTTGTTGCAATAGTAATTTATGCACAAACTACATTACTACAGCATTTGAATCATCAGTTCTTCCTCATTTTCCTCAATTGTTCATATTTGGTTTATTAAAATGATTATATTGTGGTCATTGTTAAAGAAAAAAAGGAGGGTGACATTTCTGCTATGAGTATTATTATTAGTATAATGCGCTTTCTGCCTTCCTGTCATCAGGAGTTAGAAATGTAATGGCTTAGTAATAGATTAGATTAGAGCCTTCATTCTCCTAAACTGCTGGGACATTTCCCTAAAGCAAATACCTTTATATTTTCTACTCTTCACTTACTTGTCAGCATGGGTCGGCATTGATGTACAGAGCCGACAAAAGACCGTGTTTATATCATCATATTGAAGCCAACTCCATCCATCAAGCTGGCTGAAACTTCCTCTCCCTCTTCTCCTCCTACTCCCTGTCACTCTCCTTTAACTCCTCCGGTGACATTCTTTTATTTGAAGATTGTTTTTTGCCCGGCGCTCCGGTTACCGCTGGTTTTAAAAACATTTTGGCGAATGGTTAGGTGGCGAGAAAGTCTGTAGTGAAGGAACGCACTCTCGTGCACACACTCTGCTTTTCATCCAACAACGACAACCGCGCCACAAAACGCTATGTTGTAGCCATAGGCGGATTTTGCGGGGGGGCAGGAAATGGCTGAAATATGTTACAGCATTACTACGTCTAAAACTGTTCCAATACAAATATTTCGTATATCATATTTTAATAAGGTAAGACACTGGTTAATAATATTGTAGCGTGTTCAAGTAACCAAGGGATATAGTAGTTATCAAATAAATATAAGATGTGCACAGTTATGATACGTTTTACAGTTATGTAATGCACTGTTGTTGGGGGGAGAGAGCGCCCCTTCCATATGAATGTGTGTGTGTACGGCGGGCATGAGGCGTGCATGACGGGACGAGTTGTGTTCGTATGTGGAAAAGTCATACTTTATTGCTACTGTATCCGTAGCACCCCACGCAATAGTTGGGACTGTGTACTGACGTCAGTAAAAAAGGTTTGCCCCCCCAAGCGCACATGTCAAACTCCGCCTATGGTTGTAGCGTTAATAAACAAAGCTATTTAACAAAAAAAAATCGCTTGTCAAAATACCAATACCACAGGACAATGTGATTTTATGTCTTACTGTTTTTTTAGTTTTTTTAAAAGCAATCTATTTAGCGGCTTTAGTGGAAAGTACGTTATGCTGGCCCGGGGTGTCTAAATAGTGCTTCCGGGCGAGCCCTGATGTTGCTCAGTTTCATACGCAACAATCAAGCTGTAGAGAATAACCTGAAACACTTCCTGTCACGTACTTTGAGCTTCAAACTAAAATGATAAACAGCAGAAAGGAGCATTTATGTACAGGAATGAACCGTCATTGAGAGCGGGGAGAAACCATTTCACCTTTTTATATTTTCATTGTATTTTAGTAAGAAGTCTCTCTGTTCTCTGATTTGCTGATGTTGACCGTTTGTCTTGATCATTTCAGAATAAAGTTATGAATGTGTTAATGTCTCTTATTTTTAACACTAAAACTGTTTTCATTCTAAAAATCGGGGCTGTTTTTTTTTAAATGAAGAAACACACACTTTTCTGCAGATGTTTCAAAATAAAACTCCCCTATCAACTTGAAGAGCATAATAACTGCTTTTCCTTTGATGCTTTTATTGTGAAAAAACATATTTTGAATTGTATTTGTGTTATTTCAAATAAAAATAAGGAAAGGTAGTAATGTGTTTTTATTACATGTACAGCACTTTGGCTCGACCAAAAATCGCTTTTAAATGTGCTTTATAAATAAAACTTGATTTGATTTGATTTGAAAGTGTTGTTGGGAGATCTGCATTGAACTGAATCTACCATGTGAGACATTATAGTGCAGGTAGTCACACCTGGCTGTAATTTACACGATAAATAGTTCATAGCATCACAAATAAATAAGTAAATAAATAATCAAGTTAAAAAAGCTATCAAGAATTGAAAAGTTTGAGGGGATGAATGATTTTGAAAAGCGATTTGTCTTAAGAGCAGGTATTACCTGGAAGGAGAGTTTTGGCCGGAGAGCGAGGAGCGTAGGGGCTCAGGGTGCTCCAGAAGTGGATGGTGGAGGGGAGAGGACTGGGAGTCAACAGGACCGGAGTCTGAACACACACACACACACATATATATTAGAACAACAGGAAAAACACTGCAAAGCTTGGGTGTGTTTAATTTCAATATATGAAGATTTTTTGTGTGATTTGAGACCACACACACACACACACAACCACACACACACACACACACACACACACACACACACACACACACACACACACACACACACACACACACACACACACACACACACACACACACACACACACACACACACACACACACACACACACACACACACACACACACACACACACACACACACACACACACACACACACACACACACACACACACACACACACACACACACACACACACACACACAACACACACACACACACACACACACACACACACACACACACACACACACCACAACACACACACACACACACACACCACACACACCACACACACACAACACACACACACACACACACACACACACACACACACGTTTACCAGACAGTGTGAGGTGATGACAGACGGGGTGAGTGTGTTGGTCGCAGATCCAGGAGCCAATAAACTGTTAACAGCTGCGTTGACCTGCAGAGGGAAACAGGAAGTGATGTCACAAGCTCTACCTTTCTACCTGCTTGACCTAAAGCCTAGATGCTAATATACATTTATTGGCCAATAACAACTCACTGTACACTTGTATTACATATATATAAAACCCTATGTATAGTAATAGGTTGTTTATTATAGTGTATTCCAAGTTATTCTTTTGAATGTGTGTTTGGTGGCGTGATCATTATTATCTAGAGTCATTGCGTGCCTATTGATTTGAACACGATCCGTGTATCCATCATTTCCTGGTCTTCTCTAAAGAAGAGGGACCAATGAAAACGTTGTCATGTTGCCGTTGTTCAGCATGGAAACATTCATTAGCTAACAATGACATTATTGTTCTATTAATATAAAGGGAGGTCAGGTACTCTTTAAAACAGCTGCTAGTTATGGGTACTTTTTACTGAAGTACATTTCAAAGCCCTCTTTACTTTTACTTGAGTAAAGAAGTTTAGTCAGTACTTCTACTTTCACCAGAGTATTTTTAAACACGAGTATCTGTACTTCTACTTGAGGAAAGGATGTGTGTACCATCTCAGTGTGTTTATATGTCAAGTGTTTCGTGCAAACCTTATCCAGGGAGAGGCCGGGGGGGGAGGGATGGGGAGGAGGGCAGCTCGAGGCCTCGGGGCTTCTTTGGTTTTGGAGGAACAGCGTCTGAAGTCACATGAGGAGTCATCGCTGAGAAGGGGGTCACCGGGGGGGCGGAGGGACCTGAGAGACAGAAACATCTCAGTGTGAAAGCCTGCTTTTTATTTTTTATCTTAAGACACAAACATGGACATAACAACACCACATAGGAGATGACATTCCCATCTCAGACAAAAAAGTCAGTCGGACCACTTCAACATTTCACAAACAAAAATAACCAAAAACACAACATGGCATATTTATAGTTCCTTTAATCCCACTCTTCGTCAGAGCAAATTATTTCCCATGTCATGGCGTGTTGAGCCACCCTTTGATTTTTTGTGGCAATAATCCTTTCCAAATGAAATTGTATTTTTAATCTACTCTTCAAACACCTTAAATTAAGATTACTCCTTGATTGAGTTTTAAAAATATGTATTTTAGCCAGAAGAATTGTTGTATTTATTAACTGTGTGCGGTCTTCATCTAAAAAGCCCAAATAAAATATTAAAGGGTGTAAATTCAATATTGAGTGTCTTCAGCCAATTTTGAATCTAAAGGCCCAGACACACCAAACGGACACCAAAGAACACGTCCCGACGGACCCGACGGTTGTGTCGCCTCACGTCTCCTGCGTCTTGGCCAAACAGTCGCACTGGAACACACCGCAAACACTTCAGCCGACGGCCAAGTAGCACGTACGCACTGCGCATGCGTGAGTGGCAATAACTCTCCTTACCAGCAGGCGGCGGTGGTGTGTATTCTTAATTCAAAAGAGGCAACCGGAAGACAGACTGCGTGATACATACAAACAACAAATAGCGTGCGTTCCATTTTCACTCTCGTCCATCACAGACTGTTTCACATAACGACTTATAATCGAAAACATGTTTAGTGCAGTACTGGAAAATGAAAAATAATAGCCGTCTGTGTGTGCCTTCTTCTCTTCCGTTTCGCTTCTCATGCACTGATTCGCTAAGCTGAACAGCCAATCAGAGGGATTTCTTTTGCCGACAGCCCGGCACGGCCGAAAAGACACGACGGTGCTGGACACACCAATCTGAGTAGGGCAACAGGACGCTCATCGACGGCCGAAATCGGCTCGGTGTGTCAGGGCCTTAAGACCACAGACTTGCAACATGTGGACAATAAAAAAATAAATGCATCTGGTCTTCCTCTTCCTCATCACAGAATCTACATAATGGTGACGGTTCAATGAAAGCCTTTGTTGATAATTCGGTAAATTCTCTGTTTGTGAGAAACTCTTCAGTGAGAACAGTTTTCCGTTACCTGTCAGCGAGTCCTTGCCCTCGCCTGCAGGCTGCTGACCTCCGACCCCCGGCTCCATGCAGGGGGGGGACGGGCTCTCCACGATGGTGATGGGGGGCTCTGGTTCCCCTGAGCCACAGATCAGGTGAGGGACCTGGAGGAGGAGCAGAGAGACGAACAGGTCATCAGTCTGAGGAACGAGACAGCAGACATCTGGACTCTCTGTGATGCTGTGTGACCATTTTGTTCGTTTTTACAATCAAAAAATGATAAAATATTAAGAAAATCTAAATATGAGACAGTTGTATAGCATCTAAAAAATATGAGAAAATTAACCCAAGAAATATATTAAAAGATAATTGAGGAAATTTCAATTTTGACATTTTTGTAAAATATCTAAAAACAAATTATCCAGAACATTCTGAAAATATCACATTATTCTCTCTCTCTCACCTGCTTCTCCTCCAGAGACACCATCTTCAGCAGCTCCTCCTCCTCCGACAGCAGGTTCTCCTCCTTGATGACGATGGGAGGAGGAGGAGGAGGACGGACAGAAGAAGGAGAAAGAGGAAGAGGACGGACAGAAGATGGAGGAAGAGGAGCGACGGAGAGAGGAGAAGCCGTCATGGCCGCCTGATGCTGAATTTGCTGTGTGGGAAGGGGTTTGATGATGGCAAAAACAGGCTGATGATTCGGGTGAGGAGCAGTTTGGGGGTGAGGAGGGTAGCTGGCATTATCGGTGACTCCCTGACACTCTTCCTGCATCTGAGGAGCCATTGATATGTGAGGGGGGGGGCACAGGACTGGACCCTCCGATGGGGATAATTGGGGTGAGAGAGGAAGGATCCCCAACACTGGTGAGATAAATCTGAGGAGGGTCGTTTAGAGCGGGAGGCGGAGGAATCTGGGAAGAAAATACAGAGGATGGCAGGATGAGTGCAACAAGTAGTGGTTTAAGGACCAGTTTGTTACTGGGACAAAGAGAGTGGAGCAGGGATGATTATTGACCATGACTATTGGATTGCAGAAAATAAACTCCATGGTAAACAAACATTTATTAACACATCTTTATATAATTTTTGAAGTGCAAACGCAATCTCCAGAAATAAAAAGCTAATGTTGGGCTATAAAGGAACGACAGCACGGTCACATGACTTCACGTCACCACCGCTAAGCTAAAGGATGCTAATGTTGGGCTATAAAGGAACGACAGCACGGTCACATGACTTCACATCACCACCGCTAAGCTAAAGGATGCTAATGTTGGGCTATAAAGGAACGACAGCACGGTCACATGACTTCACATCACCACCGCTAAGCTAAAGGATGCTAATGTTGGGCTATAAAGGAACTACAGCACGGTCACATGACTTCACGTCACCACCGCTAAGCTAAAGCATGCTAATGTTGGGCTATAAAGGAACGACAGCACGGTCACGTGACTTCACGTCACCACCGCTAAGCTAAAGGCAGCTAATGTTGGGCTATAAAGTAACTACAGCACGGTCACATGACTTCACGTCACCACCGCTAAGCTAAAGGATGCTAATGTTGGGCTATAAAGGAACGACAGCACGGTCACATGACTTCACGTCACCACCGCTAAGCTAAAAGCGGCTAATGTTGGGCTATAAAGGAACGACAGCACGGTCACGTGACTTCACGTCACCACCGCTAAGCTAAAGGAGGCTAATGTTGGGCTATAAAGGAACTACAGCACGGTCACGTGACTTCACGTTACCACCGCTAAGCTAAAGGCAGCTAATGTTGGGCTATAAAGTAACTACAGCACGGTCACATGACTTCACGTCACCACCGCTAAGCTCAAGGCAGCTGATGTTGGGCTATAAAGTAACTACAGCACGGTCACATGACTTCACGTCACCACCGCTAAGCTAAAGGATGCTAATGTTGGGCTATAAAGGAACTACAGCACGGTCACATGACTTCACCACCACTAAGCTCAAGGCAGCTGATGTTGGGCTATAAAGGAACGACAGCACGGTCACATGACTTCACGTCACCACCGCTAAGCTAAAGGTGGCTAATGTTGGGCGTGATGACGTTTAGTCGTCTCATTTAGACACTTGTTTTTAAATTCACCAATGGGGTATTTACTGACGTATTTGATGTCGTAGAACACAACGTTAATTGCTCTTCTGTGTCAAACACACTGACCTGTGATTGGCTGGTGGCGTTTGTGGGTATCTGCGGGCTGAGAGCCGGAGTGGCACACGGAGACGGCTGAGTGACGATCACCTGCAGAGCCGAGTCCATCGAACCTCCTACTGACGGAGGAGACTCTGATATCACACAGACCTGAGGAGGAGGAGGAGGGAGGAGAAGAAGGATTGAGAGAGGAGGTTAAGAATCATCATTATTATTATTGTTATAATGGTACTCGCCAGTATATAGTAAGTAACTCAGATTAACTTCACCTTTACCAAAATAATAAACCCAAAAAAGACTTTCCTTTATGTAAAGTTCTCAGTACTACAGCATCAAAAATCACAGTGAAATACAAATATGTTTCAGCGATAGCTTCATGTAGATAGCTGTACGAGTTCATTTCTGGTCGATTATCAAAACGCTTACATTTCAATTTCTAATACCATCCTTAACGCGGCATGAATTCAATCATGTATTAAGATGTTATTAAATATTGTTTAACTGCATCTCTCACCTCTCTTAGATCGAACATGGCGGCGGCGTCGTGTTGTATTAGCAGCTCTGTTTTGATTGGCTGTGGGTTGGGCGAGGTCTGCAGTGATTGGATGGTGAAGGTGGAGTAGAGGCCGGACTTCATGTAGTCGTTACGGGAACTTTTCTGAGAGCCGCCGGGTGACGAGCGCTGGGGATCAATACAGAAATCAGTCCGACACTAAATACATTTATAATAATAATAATAATAATACACTTTATTTATAGAGCACCTTTCATGCTTGATACAGACCAAAGTGCTTTACTGAGTATGACAAAAGGTCACAATCAAATTAAAATATGTAAAAACATTCAAACATTCAAACATGAACAGTGATACTACAGAAATTATAAGCCAAATTAAAAAGATAGGTCTTTAATTTACTTTTTTAAATTCCAATTGAGGTTGCCGTTCTAAGATCAAATGGGAGGCTGCTCCACAGTTTGGGGCGATATAAAAACAGAAAGCAGCCTCTCCAGTTTTCTTGTAATGCACTCTAGGTACATTGGGCGCTTTCACACCGGAATACTTTTCCCCGTACTTTTCCCGTTTAGTTCCGATAGTTCCTGGGATTTTGCGTTCACACCAAAAAGAGAACTTAGTTCATGAGAACTTTTCCCCCCTTTTCAGTCCCTGCTAGAGAGGTGGGACTTTCCTGGGGAGAGAAAAGTTCAAATTTCTGATTGGCTGGGCGAATTGCAAACCACGCCCCGTAAAACTCTGAAAAGTTTTTTGAAGCCGCCATTGTATTTGCTGGCATTAGCATTATTAGCATTAGCATTAGCCCAGCGCACCAACGGAGAGAGACTAACTTATGGCAACACAAAAAAAAACATGGGAGCGGTGGAGTGATGAGGAGGTGTCGGCGTTCTGGCGATTTACTCGGAAGGCTTCAGTAGAAGCTGCTGGGAGTCCCAGCAGCTTCTACTGAAGCCAGTCCCCAACTCCGGGGACTTCGGGTGGCAGTATACGCCGTGAAGTGGTTTGCGGCCTGCCAGTAAACCCAAAAGTAGAAGAAGAAGAAATGCCCCTTTCACACAAACGCGGTTCCCGTTCTAGCTCCGTGCTAGAGCTCTTCTGGTTCGGAACCGTTTTTTCTTTTCAGCCCCCGTTTTGTTCACACCGCCCAGAGCCCGAGTGGTGCTGCGTCATGACGTAACCGTTTACGTGCCTGCTTCATAAAGCCAAACCGCGCGGAAACCCCTCACATCGAAAACTACAACAACAATGGCCGATTGTATTGAAGCGCTGCTCGTTTTGCTTTTGCTCTGTCGAAACCGAATGGAAATAATAGGACGACTTCACCACGAACTTCGCATTCGTCACAAGCGACTTTCAAATGTTCTTTGACAGAGTCTAGCAAGTCATAATGTGGACTTGTTTTTGGACGACCGCTGTCACTCCGTCCGAGGTCTCGCTTTTGGTCCCGATAATCCTTCTTAACTTTTTTCAGTTTGTTGCAAATCTGGTCCACGGTTTACGTTTGTGGTTTTCCATCGTTGTGTACAAATAGGACAAAACGTGGGCTTTTGGTTGTTGTTCACGAGGTTGATCGCGATCCTCCCCCTGCCCCTGGCCCCGCCTCCGACGTAAGCGGGACGTATACGGTTCTTGCTTCTAGACCGACAATTTTTTGGAGCTTGGTAAGAACCAGTTTTTGGGGAAAAGAGCCGGCTCCGCTGCGGTGTGAACAGGAAAAAACGGTGCTTATCAGGCTCTAGCTCCCTGGAACCGCGTTGGTGTGAAAGGGGCATAAGTGTCCTTGCTGGTTGATAAAATGAGAGACAGTCACTTAAATATGTTGGGGCAAGGTTATGTGTATGTGATGATATCACTGTGCAGAAATACACAAAGAGGAAGGAAGTCAAAGTGTACCTGGGGTAAGCTCTTTGACGGACAGGTGGAGGTCCCGCCCCCGAGGCCTATTGATTGGCCGTTAGGGTCAGAGATGTCCCTCCTCTGGCCTTCCTCTCCGTTATGAAGCCCTTCAGCCAGGGAGGGGTCGGGCTGACTCACAAACTTATAGACAAACTTCTGACCGCTCACCTTCTTTATGATATTCTGAAATAAGCATAAATAAATACACAACTGTAAGAAAATGCACTAAAGGAGAATCCATTTTCTTTTGCAGTAAAAGGGGTATTATTACCTCAGGAAAGGAGGTATTTCTTTGTGTGTCCACATTACAAATAAACAATGGACCTAGATTTTCTGAAACCTTGTTAAAGGGTGTAGCAGGGGCCAAGGAAGAACCCATTACATTAGGGATCCGATTTACAGGCAAACACACACAAATTACATTTCACTTTTTTTAAACATTGTAGGATAGGGCATTTGTGCTGCATTCATGGGGTGTTGGAAAAATCAGAAGAATGTGTTCCCTACTGGGAAAATTCACGTGAACCCTTATTATTTCTTACATTTTAACATGTTGGTTTCAACGCTTGGAGCAATAAAATACAACACATATTCTTTGTGGTGTCCATGTTGTTTCCACATTACGACTTAATGCTCATGACTTCCCCACTCAGTATATAGCAACTGAGGAACACTTGAATGCACCTTTGGAGGTCAGCGCTCGCCAAGAACCATTATAGTTATATGATAAGCATTACCTATGACCAATTATACTCAAAATCTGGAACAAAACTGGAACACAACACAAGAAAATCATATATTATCAGTGGTATTAACCTTGTCGTAGTAGTATCTCAGCGCTCTGCTCAGCTTGTCGTAAGTCATGTTATTTTTGTTCTTGCGGAGACCCCAGAGTCGCGCCACCTCCTCGGCGTCCAGCAGCTTGAACTCTCCGTCCTCACTTGTCCAGGAGATCAGGTGACGCTGCCGCTGGTCCTCCAGCAGGTGGAGCAGGAACTGCCACAGCGTGATGGACGGGTCCATCGCTGAGGGACACACAGAGTTTCAAAATCAAAGTCAACTTTATTGTCGATCTTTCAGTTAGGGTCCAAGGCTAAAATCCCTGGGAGTTTCTCTCCCACACATTCCCCCCTCTTTAAAGTAGAGACACTACATACTGATATACACCTGAACATCAGCAGGAGAGGACTCTTTAAAGTAGAGACACTACATACTGATATACACCTGAACATCAGCAGGAGAGGACTCTTTAAAGTAGAGACACTACATACTGATATACACCTGAACATCAGCAGGAGAGGACTCTTTTAAAGTAGAGACACTACATACTGATATACACCTGAACATGAGCAGGAGAGGACTCTTTAAAGTAGAGACACTACATACTGATATACACCTGAACATGAGCAGGAGAGGACTCTTTAAAGTAGAGACACTACATACTGATATACACCTGAACATCAGCAGGAGAGGACTCTTTAAAGTAGAGACACTACATACTGATATACACCTGAACATGAGCAGGAGAGGACTCTTTAAAGTAGAGACACTACATACTGATATACACCTGAACATCAGCAGGAGAGGACTCTTTAAAGTAGAGACACTACATACTGATATACACCTGAACATCAGCAGGAGAGGACTCTTTAAAGTAGAGACACTACATACTGATATACACCTGAACATGAGCAGGAGAGGACTCTTTAAAGTAGAGACACTACATACTGATATACACCTGAACATGAGCAGGAGAGGACTCTTTAAAGTAGAGACACTACATACTGATATACACCTGAACATCAGCAGGAGAGGACTCTTTAAAGTAGAGACACTACATACTGATATACACCTGAACATCAGCAGGAGAGGACTCTTTAAAGTAGAGACACTACATACTGATATACACCTGAACATCAGCAGGAGAGGACTCTTTAAAGTAGAGACACTACATACTGATATACACCTGAACATCAGCAGGAGAGGACTCTTTAAAGTAGAGACACTACATACTGATATACACCTGAACATCAGCAGGAGAGGACTCTTTAAAGTAGAGACACTACATACTGATATACACCTGAACATCAGCAGGAGAGGACTCTTTAAAGTAGAGACACTACATACTGATGTACATCTGAACATCAGCAGGAGAGGACTCTTTAAAGTAGAGACACTACATACTGATATACACCTGAACATCAGCAGGAGAGGACTCTTTAAAGTAGAGACATTACATACTGATGTACACCTGAACATCAGCAGGAGAGGACTCTTTAAAGTAGAGACATTACATACTGATATACACCTGAACATCAGCAGGAGAGGACTCTTTAAAGTAGAGACATTACATACTGATATACACCTGAACATCAGCAGGAGAGGACTCTTTAAAGTAGAGACATTACATACTGATATACACCTGAAGATTAGCAGAATGTCCTCCTAAATTCTTGAAATAAGTGTACATTACATGTTTTTTCTCTCATCTCTCCTTTGTTAACTTACCTATAAGAGCATAAATAAAATGTACATTTAAATTACATGGATCCTAATTACTGTGTGCAAATCCTGATAATAAAGTTTGTTTATGTATTGTGATTTAATGTCTAAACAAACCATATCATGGTCGGTCACACACACACACACACACACACACACACACACACACACACACACACACACACACACACACACACACACACACACACACACACACACACACACACACACACACACACACACACACACACACACACACACACACACACCACACACACACACACCACACACACACACACACACACACACACACCACACACACACACACCACACACACACACCACACACACACACACACACACACACACACACACAACACACACACACACACACACACACACACACACACACACACCACACACACACACACACACACACACACACACACACACACACACACACACACACACACACACACACACACACACACACACACACACACACACACACACACACACTGAGAAGGTCACACTAAACAGATTACAGGGAGAGATGCTAATGAAGCTCATTACCATCGGCTGACCTGTTACACAACTACCCCATCCAATACCTTAGAAACCATCGCCATGGTGAGAGACCTTTCATCAATGGTAACCAAGGGAGAGGACGGCGGGCGAGAGAGGACTTCACCCAAACACAGAGAGAGATGTGAAGAGGTGCCCTGCTTAAAGGCACTTCAACACAACTACTGATGCTCTCTGTTAGACCAGGATGACTCAATTAGGATGCAGCCTGAATATCAGCTAAAGATATGAAGTGTTTATTAAATATATGTAGTTTCTATCGATGCAGGTGTTTCTTAAACTACTGCCTGTGGACCAAAAAAAATATTTTTGATTAAATGTAAGCGCCTGATTTTCATTCCCTTTCTAGCAAAAACATATAGAAATTAAAGTACATTTTTATTAAGATTTGTGTTCGCTTTGCTAACATTTTAATCTCATTGTTGTTCTGCATTTTTATTTTGTATTTCTTTTAATAAGACGTTTATTTGTGCCACATGTACAGTATTTAGATTAGTGCTTATAATGCGAAAACAAAAAGGCATGGAGAGGTAAATAACTTGATACAAAATATTAGCGCATTTTACACATTTTTGGACAGAATTATTTAAATTAAGGCTATAACGGCCCGTCCACACAGCAGCGTTAAAAAAATCTTGGAGGTGGGCGTATCTGAAGCTTGGGGATTTTTTGCGAGCAAGGCACCAACAACCAATCACATGAATCTCCCGCCCCCGACATACGAAGCAAAAAAGTTTGAAGTAAACTGGATATAAACTCCCCAAACAGGCGAAAACCTACCACTGTCTCTGCCACCTCCCTCCATGCCTGGCTCCTCCGGTTTATATCCCGGTAGGTAAATAGGGACTGGTCATAAAGCACCGGGTGATTCCCTACCGCTAATTTCTCCTCCATTTTTTGGAATATGAGGAAATGACCTGCGGTATGTCTCTCCCAGCATACACGCGGTTTGATTGGCTAGCGCTTGAACTGTCAGATTTGCATACACGGGATTTGATTGGCTGACGCTTCCACCTCAGCTTCAAAAGTTGAACATTGCTCAACTTTGAATCCTGAAAATCTCCGCTCGCCTGCCCACAATGCAGTTCGGCGAAAAGTGAGGCAAAGTGACGTCACCCCATTCAAAGTGAATGGGCAGAAGCGTTTCAAGATTTTTTAACGCTGCTGTGTGGACGGTCCGTAAAAGCGTTCACCCTGGATAGCCTATTTAGCTCAAAGAATAAATAATACACTAAATTACAGAATTGTCTTTCTCAATGTAATTCAATGTGAAAAAGTATTTTTAAGTTGATCCTAATGTGACTCAATCCTTCACATACCACATGAAAGATGGCCACCAAATTGCACTACATGGAAGTTTTTTTATTTTTGTCATGGTCCTAAACCTAGTTGAAAATGTAAATTGGTATGAAAGCCAGCGACTGATTTGAAAACCATGGGAACCATAGAAAGCCTCACATTGTATGATTTCATGAGCCTGTCAAAACCAACAGAGCCACACTGGAATGACTCAGAAATTATGATCAGATGGATGATTATAAATAGTTTCTACGCCTTAATCAATCAATCTCAGCTCTGACAGCTACTGGATCTGAGCGACAGTCTGTCTTTGTGTTAAACAAATGTTCAGCCTCCTCAGTTAGGACACAGTAAAAGTAAAAGTGGCAGATGAAGGTTTCTTTACTTCCCGTCTGAACCAGAACACACACACACACACACACACACACACGAAGCTTATCTCCGTCCCTCGGGTGTCTCTAGAACAAAAGGTAGTGTGTTTATGGTTTATTTCCACAGAGACGTTTACTAAGCTTCTCGCTGCTTTTCATCCCAGAATGATTCACCTCACACTGGGAGCTGACCAGCAGAACAATCACAGACGCAAGCAACAGCAATAATGTGGAAAAGAAACACACTAAAACATCTAGTTTCTGGTCTCCAAATACTGTTCATCTGAGATGAAATACATTTTAAGTTAATATAGCCCGACTACACGCCTCTATAATGATTGAACTCACACAAACGTATGCATACAACCTCTATGGACAAATATACATATGTAATGAAACACAAAAGTAAGACTTGGAGAATTGTGTTAGAGACTTTTAGATACTTACTTCCAAGACCCTGCAGACACCGTGTTATAACATTCCCGTAAGCCTCAATTGAACTTTGTGTTTTGTGCTATTTAGAAAATGTTAGGAGGCTTATACGCTAAAAGTGGAACAGTAAACACAATTGTGAGCACAATAGTTTTTAGTTTTTCATTGGGCCCATTTCAAATTGGAATTTTTTTTTATATTCTACTATATGATCCTGATATTGTTGGTTATTATGTTTCTATAAATGTTAACTTAGGTATTTACTTATCCTTTTTTCTCTCGTCTCCTTTATAATCTTTTTAAAATAAACCAGAATTCACCTTTCAACCCTGAACTCTCGGAACGGAGACAAAGACCGAGAAGAAAATCCAAACCACTTTCTCCACCATAGCAGAAGAGTGTGGTTTCCCGACCACGTCCTGTTGCACCGCGGTTTTCTACTTTCTGACTTCCCCCCCATGAGTCAAATCAAATCTCAACAACAGACAGAAGACACTAGAGATGTTGACGCTGTCATCCAAAGTGACTTACAATTAGTTTGATCAACCATAAGGATTCAAATTCAGAAGAGCAAGAACCATGCTAATACATTAACTTCCATCAGGTCAAACCATGTTATGTGGGAGTACGCTACAAATGGGCCGAACCATTTTAAGTGCGAGTACGCTACAAATGGGCCGAACCATTTTAAGTGCGAGTACATTAGCTACAAATGGGCCGAACCATTTTAAGTGCGAGTACATGAGCTCTAAATGGGCCGAACCATTTTAAGTGAAGGTACATGAGCTCCAAATGGGCCGAACCATTTTAAGTGAAGGTACATGAGCTCCAAATGGGCCGAACCATTTAAAGTGCGAGTACATTAGCTCCAAATGGGCCGAACCATTTAAAGTGCGAGTACATAAGCTACAAATGGGCCAAACCATTTTAAGTGCCAAAACATTTGCTTAAAATAAGAAAAACATTCAAAAAAATTAAATTAACCTTTTAAGTGACAATTCAAACGGATGTTTAAATGAATTCAAATACTACCAATACTCCTATAATACTGCAGTAATACTTCTATAATACTGCTGAAAGTACCAATACCACTGTGTCAGAAACATGTCACATCGCTCAAACAGTAATCAAACACTCGGCATCCCAGTGCGTCACTGTTGCCATGCCAACGGGTGAATATATCATCACTGACTTCCAGCTGATGTCTCCATGAAGACATTGAGCATCACGTCTGTAATGAGGTCCTTTTTTATTAATTACTTTGAGCAAATATGAACATGTTTTACATCCTGCTAATAGGATATCGATATGAACTCCTTATGGTAAATAGACTGTACTTATATAGTGCTTCATCAGGTATTTTCAACCCCTCACAGGCTCCAGCACTTTACATACTATGAGTCATTCACACCTCATTGCTATAGGGAAGCTAACATTTTTGTTTTGCATACTCAGGGTTCAACAGGTGGTATGAAGAGTGGGTTGAATATATTGAATTAAATTAGCACCTGCCATCTGCCAAATAAAGGAAACATCTGAGCTGTGGCATGTAAAAAAAAAAACTCAGGTCACGTGCCACTATTAAGAAATATTCATTTTAAAGCAACTCCTTATTTGAACAATAGTCAGGGATTAGGTTACATGATATACATTCCTTATTTCTACTTCCTGGTACTACTATACCCATTGAAAAGTGTCCAACATGAGTTTTCAAGTGGCAGGGATAAAGAAAAGGCGAGTAGAAAATGTTTAGTGAGCAGCCGCAGTGGATTTGTTTTAATTTCAGACTCTGTTTGAATTGTTCCTGGTACTGAATGAAGGACAATATTTGATATTTTCACCAGATGAATTTCACAAGATGTGCTCTCTTTGTAAATAAGTAATAACTCTAGAAATATTGGGGTGATATGGTAGTGGAGTGCATCTGAATTAAAACAAATAAAAACATCTCTCTGAAGAGTTTTATACAGCTGACAGTGCATTTCTTTTTGCATCCACGTCTACCTTCCATCGCTATCTTTTTAAGAATGTGGTCAAACAACTACCCGAGCCAGCTCTGGTTGTTTGATTAATTAAAGAACATTTTGGTTATAGGTGGTTCCCTTTGAAAGCAGAGCCTGCATTTCCTTCACAACCTACAACCCTTTAATAAAATGATGTTCTGTCTGTTTAGACGCATTTGAGTTATTTTGCATTTTGAGTCCTGAAATGTGACCATTGTGCATCTCGATGAGGAAACGATATATTGTCATCACTACTAGCTGAAGGGAAGGGCAGTTAACGCTGCATAAATTATAATTTAGCCTCGTGGGTAGCAGCCAATTTCTTACCAATAGCTCTTCTACTCTAATTTGGTTTAAGTCACTGCATTCCCAACACAAACACTATGGTTGAATTTCAGTCTGCATGCACACTTTTTCAGCCCTCAACTGTTGAAACAGAGCTGCTAATATCTGAAGCGCGTCACATTCTGATTCTGTTGATAATGTCAGTTTTACTTCTTAATGCTTTACATTTAAATTCTCACTGTAGGAGGCTGATGCACATCCTTAATCTCTTGTAAACAAGGGGTGTATGAGAAGTTGTTGAATGGAAAGAGAAGAAGGAATTCCAGCATACTGTTGTTTACTTGCAATTAAATGCAATAAGTGACACCACATTTCCATCCTTAGACTGCCTTAGGGGGGAAACTTTTATTGTAATTAAGCGACAGCGTGCAGTAAATCTCTCCTCTCTTAACTATAATTCTGGCATACAGTGCACCTTTGTATTGGGATCCTGCCTGCCCTGTTTGGGATTGTTTTCTCATTATTTACTGGCTCTCCGCCCTGTCTCTTTGATGTGAGGCTCCCCAACTTCCTTCCTCACTCCCTGAAGGGTCATCTGGTTTTCCCCGTGTTTCTCCAAGAGTAGGAGACCGGGATATGACTCCAATGAAATGAATAAAATAACAGATTTCTGTGGGTTTGGATTGTTGGAAGATTTTGAGATAACGAAACCACACAACTCAACTAACTGTATAACGAGGGTCTAGTGTTTTACAGACGTTTTGATGTGTAAATGTAACTTCTTGTACAAAAGAAAAGAGATCATTACAACCTAAAGATACTTTCTCTAATGCACCTGGCTTAGTGAAGGGAGCTCACAGGAGGCAAGTTTACACACGCTGCATGAAAAAAAAACAGTTCCAACTAGCATTCATCATTATGACAATACCTGCTTAAATACACACGCACACACACACACTACACACACACTTAGCTGCATGCAGGCCTCAGCAGCTTTCACACACCTGTTGCAACGCTTTAGCTGCAGCTTCTTCCCTCCAAACTGCACAGAAACACACGCATGGTTTCAACACACACACACCTGCAGTAAATAAACACAGCATGCAGTAGCTCCATAAGCAGCATCTCTTACCGTTTATCAGCGGGTTTGAATCCATCTTCAGTGAAATGTTGTATCTCTCTTGCAGATTGTCTCCCAGCAGCAGACTCAGACCTCCTGCATGCTGCTGTGTTCTTGTTGTTGTTTATCTGTCTCAGACTGTCTGTCTGTGTGATGGGGGGTCTGTCTGTTTACAGCTGTCAGAGCCAGGCTGAGGAGGAGGCGACGTTCATCAGCTTCTTCCCCAACCTGCTGGCGTTATGTAACCGCAGAGAGCTGCTGCTGTTGCCGCTGCCAGGCTCCAGAGCCTCCATGCTAACAACACCTTACCGACCGCACGAATAAATTAAAAAGTTGAGCTCAGCCCCAGAAACACAAAAACACTCCGCCAGAAACAGACATTAAAGACACCATCAACAGGCGTGTTAACAGCTTTTAGCCCCACATAACTTAATGCTACATCATATTATCATAATAGATGTCTAATAAGTTTGTGTGTGTATAAAAATATGAGTTATTTTGATTCCTCCCTCTGCTGTCAGTGGATGTTTTGACAAACGCTAATAGGAGCTAATTAGCTAACTAGCACTGCTAACACTGCCAGGCTTATTTTTTCCTTTGTTTCAAACTAAAAACGTGTTCTTTTTATCTCATCATAATATTCCGTTAAAGTCGATATTAAACGATTCATTCTTAATAAAGTTTCTCCCAAGTTAAGGGTTATTTTTCTGGGGGCTGAGGCTGTTAGCCTAGCGTGCTAACTAGCCTAGCTTAGCTTAGCTTAGCTTAGAGACAGCCCCCGCCCTCCTGCTGGTGCGTCAGCCCCGAAACAGTGCTCTCTATGCGGACTGGAGTTCACCAGAAACCGCCCTCACGCCACGGAGGAAATGTCATTTGAAAAATAAAAAAAATGATATATATATAAAACAGTTTTTTCAGCGGTTTGACGGCCTGCAGTGTCCGTCTCTTCGGAGTGTTTTCCTGGTTTCTTCCTGTTTGTTTTGACTAACGCCTCCTCACTACTTTTCTCCACTGTCAGGTTAGCCCCCGTTCAAGCAAACACACTTCCGGTGATGGATTTCCAAATAAAAGAGATGTATTTACCAGGCCAAGTCATAGCCTGTATAAAGGGAAATTGTACAAGAATCTACATTTCTTGGTCACTTACAACATTCTCTGCAACATTTAGCTTATTGTATTTATTTAACACAATCTGCAGTTGTGTTTTATTATTTTATGTCTTATATATATTTGTGTTGCATTGTTGGAGGAGCCTGGGACTACACTGTAGCTACTGTGCATATAAAGCCTTTGAATCCCTTTGAATGTAATTACAGTTTTCACCCCAATGTGCCAGAGTTAGCTAATTAATTAATTTTCATTCGCAGTGACCTGGGCAGATTATGGGTTGCCCAATCTTACTATGCTTGAGTTTGCAGTCCACAACAACACATAATACAACATATTGGGGTTACAATAAGGTGCACCACAATATGATACAACATAGAACAATATTGATAATAATACATTTGATTTATCAAATGCTTTATCGAGTGCTCAAAGACACCTTACACTATTAAAAGCTAGTCTCTGGGGCACTGATGGTGATGAAAGCTGGTTCGAGGGGCCCCCAGTGAATATTTGCCTAGGGTCCCCCACAGACTCTAGAATCGCCATGTCATACATTACAAAAGAGAATAAGATCAGATCAGATCAGTAATTACCATTATACTGCTGTGCAGGACAACAATAGAAAACAAATTACGATGGATTAAAACATCTAAAGAATGCTTGACAATATAAAAGAAGGTCAACAAAATAAGAAGAGGACAAGACAGCGAGAAAAACTTCAAAAACTAATGTAAACAGCTGCCGGCCGTGGAGGATATCTACCATACCCATTGCTGTTGGATATGATGTGATTGTTTATTGCTATTTGCATTTTACTCAGCACTTTGAGCACTGTTTCACTTGTTTTCATGCATTTTTTTAGTATGAGCATTGTATGAGGGAGCCTGAGATCTAAGACTTTCATTCCAGCAGTTGTAATTGTTGTACGTAGAATAATAATAAGCTTGAACTTGAACACTGCAATCAAAAGTTACAAAAATGCAAAAAGCCTTCAAAATCTCCATCTCTAAATCAAACTTTCCATATCTTTTTATGTTTCTGTACACACTCAAATATCTGGGTTAAAAACAATTTAAATAAGAAATTACGTTTTTTTATTTTGAAGGAAAATAGCAACTTCCGGTATATTGAGTGAAACTTGACGCAGCGTGTGTTTCTGCAGCAGTAGGGCAGTGACGTCATCACGACAGGATGATCTGCTGCCGAGGAGCCGCTGAGCAAGGCACCGAACCAACAAGTGTTTCAAAAATAACGTTGTGCCATGTAATATAACGTGTTTACATTAATTAACAGAAAATATGATATATGTATATTTGGATACTCCATGAAGCATTTAGGTTCATTTGAAATCTTAAAGCCCTCACTTTGGGGTCTTCAGTGTTTTTAATAGGTGGATTAAAGGAGACGGAGGAGCTTAATTGATCATGTTGTGGATGCTTTGATTAAGCTTCAGGGATAATGACATGAGTGAGTCCTATTTTGAAAATGTTTGCTGTGATGTTTTTATAGTCTGTTTCTGTTTTACGTAGTTTGTCAGACATGTTGTTAATGTGCTGCTGCTGCTGCGCGTCCTGGCCAACCCCAATCCATATTTTGTAGAAATCTCAATGAAGCCTTTCCTGGGTAATTTGGCTACAATTTAAATTATGCTAATAAATTAACTGCCCAATAAAAACAGTGTCAGCAGTGAATCAGCTGCAGTCCTCTTGTCAGCGTCACATTTTCCTACCTAACAGGAGGTGTGTGTGTGAGTGTGTGTGTGTGTGTGTGTGTGTGTTGTGTGTCTATTTCAGGAGTCATCTCTCAGCTTTTTCTTTCTCCCGTTTGGCATCCAGTTTCCATGGCAACAGGCTCATTGTTGTTGATGTAGTGTGTTTGTATTACAATAAAAACTATTCTTCTATTGACGTTTATATATATATATATATAAATTTATTTAAGCTCCGTATAGTGTAATCTTTCAAAGTGTTGTTTATATCATCCAAATAATGTAAAATTATTTTACATTTTAAGTGTTTTAAAACAACTCAAAACTGCTCTTTCTTTCTGAAGAGTGGAACATTTGCAGATAACAAAAAAACGTAACCTTCTTAAAAACAGAGAGGTTAGTTCACAACAGGGGGTTTTCACATCTCCACACACCAACATAAAATCATAGTAAATCTGAGTTGAAAAGATAACATTTTAATCCCTGAATAAAATAAAAAACAGACAAGTTATTCTAGATATTGCTTCATTTCAAAGGGTCAAAAAGGTTGTGAGTATTTGAGGTCGTCGAAATCTGAAACAACAATACATTGCTTCAGATTTCCTTTACTGCAAATTATTATTTTTTAACTAAACTGGAATAAAAAAATCTGGCTATTCACAAATGTACGGAAATATTGTGTAATTTGACAGTTTCTTTTAGGTTTCACCAAACATCCACACTATGAAAATAGATGATAACATATATGAAAATAAGTGCTGAAAAACAATCATACATTAAAGAGCAACTTGCAGGTTAGAGCCCCCAGTGAATAAATGTGTAGGAAAATGATGTATACACGACGTCACATCAGGGAGAGCGGCCGGTCTAACGTATTAATAAACATGGATCACAATGCTAGTTTTGACACAGAAGAGGTTGAAAATGTATATTCTTATGCATGTGACGGACCACAACCTTATAATTATGAGCCTGCTAGGCGTCCAAGAGACCAGGAGCAGCCAAGGGTTAGAAGAAATAACGGCCATCGGAGAGAAATGGAGCTGTGGTCAGGCTGGAGTTTGTACAACCTGCACAAACACAATAGCTCACCATGATTACAAATGGTGAAATGCAATGTAAAATTACCGAAAAAATACCAGCTCACTAAATCACAACCGCTCAATCCAACTACAGTACCAACAACTACCATGAATTGGGCAGAGAAGGAGTCCGAGAAAGTTGCTCCCCTATGTGACGTAATATGACGCGATTGACGTAAAAAAAAAGAAGTTTTTAGTACCAGAGCTCAAAACGGCTCCTTCCCCCTCTGAACTCCTGCCCTTATGTCTCGTTAAACATATCAAATCCTGCATTAACTTTTTGAATTGTAGTTTTCAGGCAAGGTTAAGCAACAACCTGCAAGTTGCTCTTTAAAGGTCCCATGTCATGGCCATTTCTACTGATCATATTTCCATTGTTGAGGTCTACTAAAATATTTGTTGATTTGGGTGTTCACACGTCACTGAACCCAGGAAGAAAACAATGGAAAATGAGAAATCTCCAACGAGGCGTTCTGGGGCAGCATAGACAGGTCTTTTCTGTGTTAGAGTTTTACTCGCTACAGGGTGTACTTTGAGGGTTTGTGACTCTGCAGACCGTTTACATGCAGAGAAACCTTCATAACACACAAGGGGACAGCATGACCTGGGCCCTTTAAGTCACTTCCTGCTACATTGTTTTGAATTAATGATCTGACTTTTGAGAACACAAGACAGGGTTTTTAAAGGACATTTTCACCCAAACATAATCTACTTTTAGATTCATTCAGACCGGATTTACGTGTGTAGATGAGGTGTAATGACAAGAGACATTAGCAGAGCAAGACACGGAAAAAATTGACATGTTTATTAGCCTATATTTTCTATATTTAGTCGAAGTGTCTCCACAATAAGTATTCTGAACATTTTTAGGCAACTCCTGTTCAAAGTGCACCTATATATGTACAAATAACATCACTGGATTACTTTGATACTGAGGAAGCAGCATCTTAATAAAGTAGATTAATAGGCATTTATTCAGAAATAAGGAAATCCTAGGTAAGTGTATAAGTCACACTCGATGACATCAATGTGTTTAAAGCCTTCACATTTCAGTTTTGAACAATACGAGTGAGATTTATTACTTTCATTCACTTCCTGCACGATCTTTGCCACCTCTCTGTTGAGTGTCCATGTTTATTCTTGTACTACATACCATAATAACATTTCACCATTGTTGCAATGCCCTGAACGAAGAGTTAATTAAAGTGGAGGGTTCACTCTCCTCCTCTGATGTTTGTCTGTGGAACAGCAGCAGCCACATTATATTATATGTGTTTATTTATCTGAAAGTCCTCTGGTTGTTCAACATCCGATAATAGATCTAATGAATTTCTCTCCTTGTGTCTTCTGGTTCGTCCGACAGTCCCTGAAGCTCCCTGAGACCCTGAAGAGGAGGAAGAGAAGAAGCCAATCAGAGACTTGAACACTACACAAACAACATATTTTCGATTTCTAAAGGAATTAAATATCAGAACCAGAGGTCGCGTTAAACGAATATTTTCCGTCTATGACAGATTTCTTTTTAACAATGACGGAAAAATCTGAAAGCAGTCCGTCATTTTGACAGATTAGAACAAACTCGGAACAGCGCCAAAGCTTCCCCGCAGCGAGGCTCCGGTGTTATGCCGTGTTATGCATGCCCGCTAAAAAGGAAATGATACAGTTTCCAGACCGTACTTTGCCGTACAGATCATTGAAATGTCTGTGAGTGTTTTGCTTTACGCTGTGCGCACTCCCGCGAGGTGCAGTGGGCATGCATAACACGGCGCTAACAGTTCACGAGCGTGCGCCCC